TTTGAGAAAGATTTGAATGGCAGAAATACATGCTGTGTAATAGGATTATTTGATATCTAGCATTTGGAACATTGAATACAGCAGTTCTTTTTTTTTTTTAATGTAAAGGTTAAATGACGACCTTTGGCTTTTTTGGCTGGCACTTAAAAAAGTGTCACATAAATAATGCTATAGCAATATTTTGTTTAACTCTTCAGCACCGTGACACAAGTTATGAGAGTTGCATAAGAAGTTCATTTTAACGTGGTTTTTTTTCCAGCTGTCACTAACTTATGTAAAATGTATTTTTCAGTAGAAATTCTCTTAAAAGTGAGCTCCTAGGACATGGAGAGAAATCTTCAGTCAGTGACCTCTTATGTACTAAGTATAAAGTGCACACAAACATAAGAGATGTTGGACCAGATCATAATCCCCCAAACTGCACATGGATCTCACCCTTTTCATGTGGATAGTGGGATGGTCCTCGATTGTATACTTGCCACCCAAGCCCTTGGACGGTACTCTGTAGGGCTAAGATATACATGGTGGGGAGAGGTTAACCGCTCCAAGCAGGGATTTAGATTTTAAACTTTTGTTTTCACTGAAACTTTTTTTTTCTGTTCAGTGGACTAGATTGTAGAGCCCTTACGCTGGTGGGCACTAACATAATTAAATTGCTTTTATCTTAAACAAGCATCACAAACTAATTTTCAGAACACTTCTGTGTGAGGCAGGTTTTTCTTCCATTTCATAGAAGTTAAGTGACCCTGCCTAACTCCACAGAGGGAGTCTGTAGCAAGGCAGGGAATAGTATGCTGGAATTTGTGTCCGGACTGTACCTTTGTCAACAGTTGCTTAACGTGTTACTTTGGCTGACAGAGCGCAGCAGGAGCTTATGTGATGCTTTGTCTTCCTGGGGGGAGTACTTGTGGAACATTTGTGTTGCATTTTCCTGAGGTTAATAGCAACAATAGCATTGGCCTTTCCAGTCGTCTTTAGGTATGCTGCATACAGTAATGCATCTCAAACTTTCGCTAGTTATAATACAGTCAGTGTAAGTAGCCACATCTAGTGTTCTTTACATTCTATCTGTTATGCCTAAAGTTCTCCAGAGCCTATCTTAGTAAATGAGCTCCTGTTTTTTCTTGGAAGTCATAGCTGGACCAGTGAGTCTCTAGTGCTATGTAGTCTGCTGGCATCTACTCATTGTCCACAGCTGGGACCAAATGCAGTGTGTGTACTAACCTACTGCCTTCACTCACAAACCCTATTTGAAGAGGGGCACTTCAGAGTTCAGCCCTGTGGTACATTACCCCTTACTCCCCTGCTTTCTTTGCTCTCCTCTATTTAATACTGCATCAGTATAGCTCTTACTCACCTGTCCTTCCCCCCTCCCCCAAGCGGGCTCTACATAATCTCCTTCCTCTACCAAGTTGACAGTGATGTCTTGTCAATAACAAACTTGCAGACAGTTGCATGCATGAAGTCTAAACCCAGAGCTATGCCAAAGTCCCTGCACGTCTCCTGGGGGGAACAGTCTCTGTTTATTGACCATCTTCCTACACTTTCCTCCCAGAAATCTTAGTTCTGTCCATTTCAGTGGAATGAAGAGGTTATGCTCTTATTTTCTATCCCTGTTTGATTTCATATGGTAGCAGTAGTTACTGAAGCTTTAGAGCTGTGATGTAGGTTGATAGTTGTGTTTAAACCTGTGTAGGCACTGTTACATGTTAGTACTCTACAAACACATAAAGACAACTCTCTCTGCCTTGAAAAGCTCAGTGTTTGACAAAATAGACATCAAAATGAGCGGAGAGACTGGAATACAACCCCTTTTCCCCCTCCCAAATTGGTTTTCAATTTATATGTATATTTTGTCCTATTGTGCCCATTTGCATTTGCTGGAATCCTGTCTTTGAATTAAACTTGAGCCCATTTGTTCTTTGTCACGTTATAGTTCTGCCCTAATTATTTATGCTTTTTATAGTTAAAGTGTTTAACCCTTTTCTTCCTTTCTACTGTGGCTAAGTTTTGTGGGATTTTCAAGCTCTCCTCTACCTGCCCTATCATCCCCCATTAAGTGTGGCTATGGCCCTTAGGAGCTGCTGTCAGAATGACAGTGGAGAAATGAGTGTTATGTGGCCACAGCAAAAAGAGTTTGCAAACCCTGGTATTGTCCCACGGCATGTAGGCTAGGTTTTTCTTTTTTTTTAAAAGAAGCCTAGGGTTAAGCTCCCACATCCTGTTAAAATTCAATGGTAGTTTAGCACTTTTGCTCTTATATCCATTAAAGTAGGAGGAGTAATAGCTGAGTTTGTATTTCCAAGCAGGAAATGACTGGGGCAGGGGGGATTTGTATTATATTTCCTTAATTTTGTAGCAGAAATCTAAACAGCAGGAAGTTGAGGTAGGTCTAGAAACTCCACCAGCCACAGGCTAGTGCTGAAAAATTCTTGGTCCCTGTTGAAAGAAAGCAAGTCTCGTTGTGCTTATTATGGCAGCAAAGTTTGAAGAAGAGAATCTACAAGGATTCATTATAGCACAGAAAAGCCATAATCTGCACCTTAACTCTAGAAGGGGGGCTGTCTCGATCTAGGGCTATGACTCCCGGCTCGGGTATGTCTAGCGCTACATCTCATGAGCTACTGCGAATATAAATAGCAGGTTACCTGCAGTGGAGGTAAGGCTGAGCTGGGCTGCGTAGGTAGCTCCCGCCCTTAAAACTGTGTTTATGCTAAAAGAACAGGAGTACTTATTCCTAGCCACTGGGGGGACGCGTACCTGAGCAAGGACATCACCCCCGCCTGTAGTGCAGACAGAACCGGGGGTCTCTTTACTGTATTTATTCTCACAGCATCCCCGTGAGGTCCAAGCTCCTCTAGGGCAGCTGGGGCTGAGCAGGGAAGTGAGCCCGGTGTAACAACGCAAACAGCTCTCGCTCCCAGTTCCCAGCCTAGCACCTGTGCCCTCGGGCCAGCCTTCAGCAGGGGGAGCACAGGCCGGGAGGCTTCCGTGTGAACGGCTTCAGGTGAAGCGTTAAAACTGTAAATATCAGCGTCTCCCCCGGCCTCCTGACACGGGGAACCGGGTGGTGCCTCTCCAGCCTCCCCCTGAGCGGGCCCGAGGGGGGAGGGGGCAAGCAGGGGCACAGCCCCCCCCCCCAAGAGTCGGCGGGGGCACAGGAGAGAGAGCGAGCTCCGGCTGGAACCGGGAGGGAAAAGCGAGCCGGCCGGGGAGGGGGGGCTCCTTCTGGGGTCAAAGTTAAATTTCTGTGCACGCCCCCATCATGGGAACCTCACCCCCCCACCCCGGGGACGCTCCCCGCCTGAAGAGGGCGCAGACCTTGACCTCTGACCCGCTACGGCTCAGCTGCCGGGGTGACGCTTTGGGTCCTTTAACTCGTTTAGGCGACTTTCCCGCGCCTGAGTCCTCTGCTCTGGTCCGCTTAACGGGTCAAGGAATGGGGTCATTTTCGCGGGGTGAAGGGTTCCTCCCGGAAAGGGGAATGGTGCCTGTTGTCCCGGGTCCCGCACCTCTCCCAGATTCCCACACGTACACTGCTCAGCAAGTGGGTGGCCCCGGCGCTGCCTGATCCGTTACCGGACCGGTAGAGGGAAGGGGTCCTGATTGTACCTGCGTCGCGGAACAGGGCCGGCAGTCACGTGACTGGCAGCGGCCGGCGCCTCGGAGCGAGGAGGAGGCTGCAGGGGGAGGGGAAGCCCGGACTCCCCTTGGCCAGGCCGGCCCGGCCCCCGCCGCCATGGGCAGTGAGTATCGGGCGGAGAAGCGGGAACCGAGAGGTGGTGACAGAGGAGGCTGGGGGAAGGGGCTACGGGGGGACACGGACACCAGGCTGGGTGTTGGGGCGGCCTGAGGGAGGGACAGTTCCCAGGGCTGGGCGTCTGGGGGTGACCTACGGGAGGGAAGAAGCAAGAGAGGGATGGACAGCTCCCCGGGCTGGGAGTCGGGAGCGACCTGAGGGAGGGATGGACAGCTCCCCGGGCTGGGAGTCGGGAGCGACCTGAGGGAGGGATGGACAGCTCCCTGGGCTGGGAGTCGGGAGCGACCTGAGGGAGGGATGGACAGCTCCCTGGGCTGGGCATCTGAGGGTGACCTGAGGGAGGGATGAATGGACAGCTTCCTGGGCTGGGCGTCTGTGGGCGACCTGAGGGAGGAAGAGAGGGATGGACAGCTCCCCGGGCTGGGTGTCTGGGGCGACCTGAGGGAGGGATGGACGGGCAGCTCCCCGGGGCTGGGGATCGGGGGCCACCTGAGGGAGG